AACCTCTCTTTATGGGTCATTGGGAGCACAATAGCCTCTATCATCTCTTGAATTTGTTTATCACAACCTCCGATATCAGAATACCTTCAAAAGGAGTAACATCATGATGTTAGCCGCCTTACCCAGCTTAAATGTGGTAGTAGTAGTAATAGTACTGATCAGTAGGCCTTTCATCAACTTCCATTGCCTTGACCCTAGAATCAAAGTCTTGAGGCAGCTTATCCAAGACAAGATAGGAATCCTTGTTGAGCCCCACCAGGTCGTTAGGCTTCAGCTCTTCCACTGGAACCTGACAATCAGAATCCTTGTCGGAACTGCGGCTGCTGATGTATTACAAGACCAATGATGGGTAGATAGATGGTCTGCCTTGTAGTCGTCTTGACTACCATAGACTTCTTTTCCTTCTTCTCTCTCCGTTGGAGAGTGCTTATTGCAGATCCTGAGAGGATCACCATCAATGCTGCCCCTACCACCACCACATGGTCTACCTTCTTCTGGGAGATCTGCCTCATCCTCATCTGCAGGTAAGATCTCCGCAACACTACCAACCAAATGTGGCAATTGCCGATTGAGGTTTATTTTCTCCTGAAGGTTAATATGCAGTCTACGCCATAACACGATATTATACCTGATTGTCCTTCATCTTCTCCTTAATGGAGTTTAGCTCATGTGTCAAACGTTGAACCTCTGACTTGTAAACTCGTATATCATTTTGTATGAGCCGGGCCCGTTGCTGGATGCCCTCAGTACCTAATAACCGGATCAATACCATGAATGCCAAGTGATGCTAGACTAGCGTTTAATGATCGAATATAGGTACGATTCGATCGATGATATCATTACTCATGTTGTTCAAGTCCTCCATGAGAGCCTTCATTTCTGCATCCTCCTCTTGATTTGCCGACTCGGGGTTGGCATTACTATTGTTGTTATCCTCCGACGATGCTAGAAGAGGCTGCTGTTCAGGTGAGGGTGAACTCATTATGATAAACAAACAAAGTAGACCACTAGTGGGGACAGAGCCTCCTAGAGCCGCAAGTGATGATCATGGTCCAATAACTTGAGGCTGAGGAATAGACTGAGAAACTTGATACGAATAATGATAGAGAAAACGTGTAGTAGCTAGGCAACCTGCTGGAGCCTTAGTCGATGATCTCGAGATCCTCAGCTGCTAGTGATGGTGATGGTTGCTTACTCCTCTTACGTGCCTAATACACGTTGCCATTTGTGCCGACAGGCCGTGTGACTACTACCTTGACATCATCCCTATTATGTATACTCATATCCTGTTCACCGTCATCATAATCATCAGTGTTCGTGGCATGAACCATATTATCATCCTCATCAGTATCATCGTCCAACAGCGGCACATTCTCCCCTATATCTTTCAAGCCGACTTCTGAGGGAAGGATAGCATAGTGACACTCTTTAATGATGAATAGTAGCAATACCTGGCTCATCTGTGTTAGGCATGGGATTGGCAAAATCACCTCTCTGGAAACGTGTCTCAGAGAAGTAAGTAACGAATACTTCATGACCACCGAAGATACCTGTACAACAGTGATAAGGTAGATCTAGTTAGCCACAAGTGCTGCCCTATTACGTCCGTCTAATATACGTTTA